CCTGATCTTTCCAGGGAGTGATAGGCATTTTGAATGAATACTCGTAACTGAGGGTCCAACACCGACGCATCGTCATGAGGCATTTTCCAGAAGTTATGGTCGAAATTTATCGACGTCATCGATCAGACCAGCAGCGTCAACAAAACCCTCTTCAGGAGAATCTGCTCTGGAAATGCACTCCTTGCCGGCCAGGAGGTTATCCCAGAACTCGTCAACATTCTTGCAACCAGAGAAGGCGCCACTGTACCCTATGATGGCTATGTCGCCACCTTTGCCAGTATTAGGAGTGGCTGGAGGGTTTGTGGGAAGGACGCTGCTTTTCAATCGTGGCTTAGCGCAACTGGTAACCAAACTGACTAGTTTATCTAATGTACAGTTGTCGTAGATATCTGTAGCTTTGAAGGCACAGCCAAATTCCCTATTGATAGCTACGCGAAGTTCTTCGATCATTAACGAGTCCATACCCAAGTTCATCAGTGGGGTATGCCTCTCATCAGCTATCCGGTCGATTCCGCTGATACGGGCGATGATCTCCACGAGTAGACGCTCGTCTGACCTTTCCGTTATCTCGGGCTCCAGTGTAAGGTGCCTACTGAGTGATTCCGTTGAGTGGCTGGATGTGTTGAAGGGGACGATCTCGCTGAGAAACTTTCGTAGATGTTCTTGTTGCTTAGCTATCAGCTCGAAGTCGCCGCGGAACACCATCACATTTGTTGCATTCGTATTGAACACTTCCAGTGCCTCTGAGGGTTCTAGTGCTTCCCAGCCAATAGCTTGCAATTGTTTGAATACTGTACTGGCATGATTGCCTTTAAGCATGCCAGTGTTCTTCCACGGTCCCCAGTGAATCACCATGGTGGGCGATTCCGACATTTCGGCTATAGAGGTCATCAATCCATTTGCAAAGGCGTAATTCGCTTGTCCTCGTGAACCAAGTATTGAAGCCACTGACGAGGCAACCACCACTTGTCTGGGATTCCTCTCCTTTAGACTCTTTAAGAGGGTGCGCAGACCAGCAGATTTTGGTCGGCATACATTTTCAAACCGATGGAGGTCCATCGAAGCCATGAGGGCGTTATCTACTGCTCCGGCGCAATGAACAACAACGTCGTAGTGTTCACCTTCAGGTAGGCTCAGTGCAACCAGGTCGGATTCAACAAAAGTTCTAGGTGGTCCTTCACTTCTGCTGGGTACATGTCTGGCGTTTCTGGTGATCACCGTTGTTCTCTTTGCATTCATGAACTCAATCAAATGTTTTCCTATACCTCCTGTCCCACCTGTGATAAGCAGGTGCTGCGGTCTCGTGAAATGGGTTTTCCCCAGCTTTAGGGGAACCAATCTCTCGACGTAACGATATGAATCTTCGTAGAAGACGCACTCGAAAATGTCTTCAAGCGAGAACTCCGACTCCAGCTCCTCGTCGGATGAGTAGGAC